AGCGGGACTCCCGCCTCCTGGGCGGCTTTGCTCGGGTGTCCCTAGTCTGCTGGGGGGGTCCAACGGCTTTGCTGGACCCCCCCAGCAGACCAGGGAGACCGGGAGAAGCTTTTCTCCCCCCGGAGGACACGGGTGGCGACTCGCCGCCCGTGAGCTCCGGGGCGAGAAAAGCCCCGTTCGTAAGTGCGGATTCGACGTAAGTCGGATCCGCGTAAGTCGGGGACTGCGTGTATAGCTATGAAGCTTTGGGTACCTTTCCCTGACCTGAAGCAGAGCTCTCTGTTTCTGGAAAGCTTTTCTTTCTCACCAACAGAAGTTGGTACATTAAAAGATATTACCTCGCCCACTATGTGTCTCTAATATACTGAAACTGATATGGCTACCACAACATAGGGATAAATTGTCACCAGTGTTCCCTCTAAGCTGCATGGCAGCACAGCTCAGCACAGTTTCATGGGTGGTTAATCGACACCACCCAATTAGTCAGCTCCATGCCCTGAGCCTCTGACAGGGCGGGGTTGATTAATCAGCTGTGAAGCTTTGCTGCTGTGCATCTTAGAGGGAACACTGGTTGTCTCACAACTGGATAGAAAAGTATCTTATCAAGTTTGGATCCCAGGACCTGCCAATCGCTGCAGTTGTAGGGTCAATCGTAGGGCTAATCTCTGCAGTTGTAGGTCTTTGTGCTAAAGCTGATTTGAAGAAAAGAGTTCATCTCTTTATCCTGTTGTTTGTCCAAGAGTTATGCAATTATTTGGGAATAAACTCAGATTAATTTCTTGCCATTTAAATTTCTAACAGTGGAAGATTGGACAGCAAACCTCCCATAATACCACTGTCCCCTTGGTAACAACTTTTCACATGTTCAACATAATGTTTGCAAGGGCTTGCAGGTTGGTAACCATAAAGGGCTTGTTTACACTTCAGAGAGAAGAAGCCCATTGGCTGGGACACTGACATTTCCTGGCTCACAGGAGAGGAGTTGCACGTGGAAGTCTTGGAGAATGTGCCGCTTACCACACACAATTTTGTACGTACTTTGTATTATGAACTGTCTAAAATGTTCACTAGAGTTAAATCTACTTTTGAACATTTTAAATCAAACTAACTTTAGGTCTGTTTTTGAGCAAACATTTGTGTCTGTTGTGGGGAAGGTTGTTGCATAAGAGATTTTTAAACCTACAGACTCAGATGAACTAAAACTTGCTTCAGTTGAGATAACTGACATTAAAATAAACATAATTTAACTTTCCTTAACATTTGCATACCCTAGTAGCAGACAGACCCCAAAGTCTATGTATCTAGGTTTTAAAATCACCACTGCATAGCAGAGCGATAATAATATTCCATTATTTTTGTATAGCTGTATCTATAAAATGTGTTCTGTGCTCCCCTGGTGACTGCAGCAACAATTAACTAACAAACCATATTCCCAAAGCTATGCTGACGTCATCAGTGATGCTGGTGAACAAGTATGTTTTGACTTGATGAGGTGCTACATGAGTGGAAGCTCTTAAACACAAGTACTCTGGATCATTCCAGGTTCATATACAGACCTGGAAATAATATTTACCCCATGGAAAAAACCATAATTTAAATGAAAGCTATTTTAAATTGAGGCTTACGGTGTGTTATACAAACAGTGGGCCACTAAATGAATGCATAAAAGCTATTACAAATTTCTGAACAGCATCTTTTAAAACTTTTGATTCTTACTTGTAGGAAATCCTGCTTGTGTTACTTTTAGGCTAGTTGTGCTTTTAAGGTGGGGAACCAAAATACAGCAAAAGTTTTGTGTCTTGTAGTGTAGCTTTTTATGTACAACTACAAAAAATTGCCAGGATTTACTATACAAAATAATAAATACGTTGGGCAGAATTTGATTTTCTTTTATAATTTTGGCAGATAATATTGGTGTTTGTTTGGCTTTCATGAGTGGGGTGGGTCAGACAATTATTTAATAGAAGTAGATGTTGAGGTTCAAAAAGTTAAAGTTTTGACTGTTAAAACACATTGTCAACATCACATGTCAAAATATACAAGGTAAATATCCTTAAATAAAACTCTAATAAGTTTTCCAGCAACCTTTTCTTACTTTTTCAGTCTATAAATTGAGATAACTATCAAAGGACATATTTTTCAATGGTTTTGTGTGTGCCGTGGCATCAACATTTACTGCATTTATTGATAAAAATCTACCCCCCCCCCCAAGTTTAATTATAAACCATTTGAATGTTCCCAGTCTTCTGATTTTGAGGAAGGGTGTCATCTGATAAAGGTAAATAAACCCCTCTAAAGCAGGCCTTCTCTCACATCTAGTTTATTTACAGTGTGTTTTGGTATGTTCTGTTTAAATAGATTCAATTTGTTTTTTCCTTCAGCTATATATTTTGATAGTAATACCTTAGTGGAAACATAGAGCCCTTTCAGATTACAAAAATGTCCTATCTAACTGTTTGTTTTTGACACCACAGGTACGAAAGACGTTTTTCACGTTAGCATTCTGTGACTTTTGTCGAAAGCTGCTTTTCCAGGGATTCCGATGCCAGACTTGTGGCTATAAATTTCACCAGCGCTGTAGTACAGAGGTGCCACTGATGTGTGTTAACTATGACCAGCTTGAGTAAGTAATCAAAATTCCTGTGTGCTTTAGTTCAGATGACACAAGAACTAGTTGACAGATGTAATTGAGAAAGTCAAGAGAAGTGCCTAAGAAAATACATTAGTGAAGCTGCTTCGGTGAGAATTTATAGTTCTTATTTTTTCTGTGCTGGTTCAGATAACCAGTTCAAGTTCGTCCTTAGAAAGTGAATAGGAGGGCTGAAATCTTGATTCAGTAAGACAGATTTTGGATTGGTTACATATGTTATTACCCAGTCAAAGAGATTCCTCACCAGGGCAATGATAGTGACTCATTTAAATGTGTTTAGATGCAGATAAATTATCTTTGGCCAGCTACAGTTAATTTGGTCTCAAATAACATTGAACTTTTTTGATCAATTAGGTGGAGTTGACATTTGTTTTACTGCAAACTTGGCTTAAAAAGTAAAATTCATTGGTAATATTTGTATACCTAGGTAAAAAGTATGAAGCAGAACCAAGAATAGGGCAGATTGTTTCAATATGCATTTATTCTTGAATTTTTATACTCAATTTGTTCTGTACCCAGGACTTGTAATCAAGGTTTCTGCTCAATCAGTAGTGATTTTAGTACCGATCAATTTTAACAGAGCTACATAAAGCCATTTAAAAGACCTTCCCATTGGGGAGAACTTCCAAATAAAGTTTTATTTCCAGCTTGCGTTCATCACAGTTCCCCTGGCCACTTCTAGATGATGAACTAAGAGATGTGGATGCAGTTGTTTTATCCTAATAATAGCCTCCTTTGAAAGTCCCTTTTTAATATTCTATCACAATCTTCTATATAAGATGACATCACAATCTTCTTAACATGAAGGTTTAAGTTGTCTGCTTTTACACTGCTTAGAAAGTAGGTTTTTTCAATTTCTAGCAAAGGTTTTAAAATAACTTTAGACAAAAAGATACTCAAGGCACTAACTCTTGCTCCCCTGCAGATAACTAACAACTTGTGAAAATATATAGATAGTCTGTTAGTGTGCTCTCTATTCTACAGTTTAGAATTTGATACATGACTTTTTTTCTTCTGTGCCTATTATGTTTGAGCCTTCTGGGTTTTGCACAAGTTAGGTTTGTTTTTGTTTTGTTTTTGTTCTTACCTCACAGTTTGCTGTTTGTCTCCAAGTTCTTTGAACACCACCCAATACCACAGGAGGAGACCTCCTTAGGAGAGACCACCCAAGCATCTGGATCATACCATTCAGTGGCCTCCTCAGATTCTACTGGGTAGGACAATACTCCTGCTGTTTAATGACACGACATTTTAGTATTGTTTGTCTTGAAGTATTCAAAGTACTGCTTCAGATCCTCTTTGCTCACCTGAGTAATTAGGCCCTATCCTGCTAATATTTGCACATGTGCTCAACTTAAGTTCACCAATAGTACCACTGATTTTAGTGGGGTTAGCCACATGCTTAAAGTGAAGCATGTGCATAAATGTTGCAGGATATGCCTCTTAGTTGTACTTTTTTGCCTATAATAGTGTAGGCCTGATCTACTATCTTTAGTTTTTTTCTGTATACATTGCTTTGCATCCACACACAAATTCTGTCTTTTTGCTTTATCTTGCATCTTATCCTGCTATAACTAATCTGCTTTGAAGCAACATAATTTTATTTCAGAATGAGTTATAGCAGTGTAAGGATTGTATGCACACATCTCCATTTCAAATGAACAACACTACTTCAGGTAGTCCTCCCACTACTGTCCCCACCTGCATATTATTTCACATCTAGATACACCTGCTTTGGGATACTCTTGCTTGGATGTCCTCCCTCTGTGTAAACGCTGGCATATATGCATATGCATCTGTTTACAACACCAGCTCTTGATCAATTCACAGATATGAAATCCTTCCAAAGCACTGTTCCCTGTACTTCTGCATGTTCCCATCAGGGAATGCTGTACTGCCTTGCCCTTTAGAGAGAAGAACATGTTTACTTTCGTCTGTTCAGTAGTCACCGGAATGCCAAGATCTACCAGCAGCTAGCAGAGCAAACGCAGAAGAAGGGGTATTCCTGGGACACATGCCAGTTCTGTTCCAAAGCAAGCAGCTGATTCAGAAATGCTAAAGATAAAAACAAGACCTCTGTTCATGCTCACATCACATGTATATGCTATGAAGAGCTGGACTGAATTTTGCCCAAGAAGCCACCACAGAATTGTTGACAGCTGGACCATGGTCCATAATAAAACAGACACACCTTCAGAAACTACATGGGCAACCATGGACACCTGACTAGGAGGAATTTCCCCTGGGCAGCCAAGATCTCTTTAAGAGAGACCCAGCTTGATACACCTCCGGGGACCCTGCCAGAGAGCCAGCATGAGAATGCTGCAGAGAGTATCTCAACCAGTAAGTATTAAGTACTGTAATACTATTATCCATGCCATTAGTGCCTGTTCATGGGGATTTGGAAACCTTTCTTCTGGGTGCTAGCTGTGCGCCATGATATCTAATAGATGTTGCTACAGCAATGGCAGATATGTCCATCTCTTTGCAGCATCCTTACTCTTTGGCTTACTCAGTTTTTCTCTGGTCCAGCCAGCATGGATGCTGTAAATACAAGCTGAAAATACAAATTGTTAAAAGGAGCTTTTCTCCCCATGCAGCATATTTGATAGCATGCCCGTAGACTACAACACACTACATCTCTTCCCTGTGCTGCTTGATATTACATTTCTTTATCCCTCAACCACCTCTGCCCCTACCCACTACCATCCATGTGACACCACACAAGATGGTGACTAGATGGAATCAAGAAAAATGTAAAAACGCATTGCATCCAAGGCAGTTTTAATATAGGCAAAATAAAAGCCAGAAGTTTTAGAAAATTCATGTAAGACCACAATTTAGTCATGATCTTGAGTTTTTTCATATATGTGAAGGTAAACAAGATAAATTGGCCACTAGTGGTTCTTTTAGGCATTTCATTTTATATAGACTTGTGGTGACAGGTGTTATAAAAGGCATGTAAGCTTTTTGCAAAGCACTAATTTATTGCAGTACATTGCATTGGGAAAACCATACAGGACATGCATCACAGCTGCAAAATTCTGTTTATTTGTTGTGTGCTTTATGCTGATCAGATGGTTTAGAATTATGAATAAGACTTTTAAGCAAAGATAGTGATATAGTTTGATGTACACATTACAAAGTAGTGCTGTCTTCCCATAGACACTCATGTAGGTAATGCTTTCTTTTCACTCCAGCAACAGCTCCATGACCAGTATCAAATAACAGTGCTACACGTCTTCCTGGTTGTGCCTTTGCTTTCTGAACAAAACTTTGAGACATATCTCAGAGTAATAACGACCAATGTAAGGGCAGGCTGCAGGGTTGTATAAACAATTACTAGCCTGTCCCATGGGAACACGTAGGCCTTCCATTCCCCCACCCCAAAACAAGCAAGCACACATTCAAAAACTATCCTTATATTGAATGTGAAAGGTGTTACTATATTGCAATAGACCCAACTAAAGTTAAATAACTTCAAAAAAGTATTATATTCCAGCATACCTCTGCCCTGGGAAGAACTCAAAGGAATAGAATTCCAAAATGGAAAAAATTTGGAGAGAAGTAATGTTTTGTCATTTTTGGCACGATGGCTATTATATTGGTATAGTGACTACTTGTATGGTTTTTCTGTTTTCCCAGAGTGTGGCATGACACAGCTCACATCAAAAGGGGCGTTATTAGTAGCTGAGTTCTTGGCAAACCTCTGAAGGAAGAGAGAGTGGAGAAAGAAGATGTTTGGTAATCTCATGAATGAGTCCCAGCAGAGAGCAAAAAACCCATAGGGTAATGGAGCAAAGGATTTATGCTGCAGGACAGGCATGAGAGAGAGGACAACAGGGCATGTTCTGAGGAGTTGTCAGGAGAGTATATGGACTGACTGACCAAAGAAAGGGACATGCAGGAAAGGATGCTGGACATGATGTAGAAGGAGACAAGTTTGCTGGAGAACAATGTTCTGCATTCCCAAGTAACACTCTAACCTAATCCTGTGCTGCCACCTATTAACGCAGTGTACTGAGAGCTCCCTTTCATTCTCCAACTGTAAGAGAGACAGTTTTCCTACACCATTCACCCCCAAGACAAGAAGAGAACACCAGTGATCTCTGCCTACAGATTTTGAGGTCCTAGCTTAACAAACTAATTCACTCTATTTCTGTCCAATTTTAATTCTTTTTACGTTTGCACTTTCTTGTTATTTGTTAAATCAATAGTGTTGTTTACCTTTGCACTTGTATCAATTACACTTTCAAACAGCTTTTCCTACCAGTACCTATTCCTAATAAAATTAATTCAGAAACCCTATACCTTATATTGTATTCATTTCATTCAGTACATTAAATGTACTTTCCTCACCTGCTCCCTCTTATTAAATAGCACATTGCATCTGCAACCTAGATCCCTGGACCACAGGGACATATGGTTGAGAGATCCTTTTCAGCTGTTCATAAAGTTCCAAAAATATCTATACTACCAGTTCAGTCACACCAAACTGGTTAGCTGATGACTAGTACAATTGAGAGAGTGATGACTTTCCATATTGCAGTGTTCACATATTTCTCCATGTTCAGGAGGGACTCTCATTGGGGCAGCCCAGTGCTGCAATTTCAGGTTGAGTTGTACACAGATTTCTAGGAAAGTGGCCTTCTACATCCTGAAGGTTTGCAGCACTGTCCCAGCCCACTGTTAGGTTCTCACTGGCTGGGGCCACAGGTAGGGTTGCCAGGTGTCCGGTTTTGAACTGGAGAGTCTGGGATTTCAGCTTTCTGTCCGGGAAACAAATTGAGAAAATCCCGGACATATAAATGTCCGGTATTTTCTAATTAAGTAAGTTTTATTATTATCATGAGTATTGGTACGTAGTTGCGTACTGCCTGGCTGGTAGACACATTCATACTGCGTGAGCGTGTCTACCAACCAGGCAGTATGCAACTACAGTACACAGTAGAGGGGAGCAGGACAAGATGTAATCCCTGGGGCTGAACTAGCCCGTGTGCCCTGATGGGACCGTGCACAGGATGGGCAGCACCCCAGGATCTGCATGCGCGCGGGTCAGTCCTGCTTCCCACCGGCTGGTTCCCCCTGCTCCCCTCCCCCCCAGCCAGCCCTGCTTCTTGCCAGCTGGTTCCTTCCCCCGACTCCCTCCTGGTCAGCCCCGCTCCCCGCCGGCCGGTTCCCTCCCGGCCAGCCCCACTTCCCGCCAGCTGGTTCCCCGCACCCCGATCTTCCCTGGCCAGCTCCACTCGTCCCAACCCCCTCCCATCCAGTCCCGCTCCCTGTTGGTTGGATCCCTACCGCTCCCCTCAATCCCCTGCCAGCCAACCCTGCTTCCTGCCAGCCGTTTACCCCCCTCTCCTGCCCCCGATCTCCCCTGGCCAGCCCCGCTCCCCTCCCAGCCAGTCCCCACCCCTGTCTGAGATCAAGTGTGTCTGGTATTTTTTTGAAATCATCTGGTAACCCTAGCCACAAGTAATACTGCACCGAGTAAGGCCTGTCTCAGAAAATGTTGTGCAAAAGTAGTCTCCTCTTCTCTTATAGTATCCAGACAGCATTTTTTGTTGTATCCATTTTATCCACCTGTGGGGAGAAGGGTCATATCTGGCTTAAAGGGAAAGGGGGTTCTCTTATCCCCAAGCAGTGAGAGGCTCTGGCCAAGTCTGCCCTGCACACACCGCAAAGCAGCAGCTCTTGCCTTACAGGGGCAGAGCTTGGCTCCCTACTTTTATGTGACTGTGTGTTCAGAATAGGGAGTCAGGCTGTATCCTGTAGACAGGGGCCACTGGTATGGAGTGAGTTCTTTTCTCATTTCTTTTCTTTTATACATCATTTGTTTTATTTTGTATTATTTCATATTTGTGGAAAAACAGGGCTCTAGTGATTTTGCATGTCCTTCAAAGCCACCTGCTTGATTTCTAACACATCTTGAGTGCCCTATTTGTATTAATTAGGATTGCCAACTTCTTTATTTCTGAAAATCTCACCCCCCAAGCCCTGCCTCATTTCCTGAGGCCCTGCCTCTGCTCTTCCTCTTCCCTTGGGGCCCTGCCCCCGCTCTCTCGCCTCCCCTCTTTCTCATTGCTTGGTCCTCTCCACCTCCCTCTGCACTGGGGGCTGGGATGGGAGTTTCAGTCTGATGTGGAGCATGCAGCTTGCCTGTCTACAAGATGTAGATAGGAAGTGGGACTGCCTCAACAGGTGACAGCAAGATAAC